CAGCCGAACGCGACCCTGCCGCGATGCTACGTTTGCGATCTCAAACATCCCGCCCGCCTCGTCATGCCTGACGAAACAGGCCGGTATGGTCGATGGCTCGCCCGATGAGGCGCCCGACGTCGCGGTCGAAAATCGATATGTGATCGATTTGCTCGCACGCGATTCTGGCAAGCGAGCGCCGGCGGCGTGGTGCGCCTGCGCAGTGTCACAACGCGCGTCGATCCCGAGCGAGACACATAAACAGTCGCGATATGTGCGTAACGCGAATTCGGTGATGTGCGAAACGCGATGTGAAGTGAAGTGATGCGCGAAAGTAATCTCGTGTGTTGCACAAATCGTCGAGTCGAATCGGAAACAGAAATAAGCGCTCGCGTGATTTAACTTGGGCAGAGGGCCGAAACGGACGAATACGTGACGGAAATGTGAAGAATTGCGGGCTGAAGGCAGACAAAACGATAAAGTGACAGCGAGTGTCGGCGAGCTCACGCATCCGTCGGCGGCGGCTGGTCCTCAGTCCCGGGGAGAAGCACGAGTTTGCACAGTGGTCGCACGAGCTCTGACGTTGAGGTGCGGATTGTCGCCACGCGAACAATGCCATCGTCGCCGGGGTGCACTCGAATGATGCGGGCCAGTGGCCATCGACTCGGTGGAGTGCTTTCGGCGCGTACCAAGCACAGGGAGCCGACGGCAGGTGCGTCCTCGGGTTTGGTCCATTTCGAGCGAGATGTCATCCCGTTGATGTACTCGTGCGACCACCGTGCCCAAAAGTGATCGCGCATCTTTTGGAGGTGTTGCCACCGGGATAGTGAGCTCTCAGCGGCGTCATTCAAGGCGGGTTCGGGCACGGCCAGGAGGGGAGCGCCGATCAAGAAGTGGCCCGGTGTGAGAGCGGATATGTCGTCCGGATCGTCGGACAAAGCCTGCAGTGGCCTGGAATTAAGGCAGGCTTCGACCTGAGAGAGGAGAGTGCTCATCTCCTCAAAAGTGAGCGTCGTCTCCCCAATGACCCGACGGAGATGGAATTTGGTCGACTTCACGGCGGCCTCCCACAGTCCTCCGAAGTGCGGCGCAGCCGGAGGGTTAAAGTGCCAGATTATGCCCTCCGTGGCGGCGGTGTGAGCAAGGCGACGGCCGTCGGCAGACGACGCTCGAAAGAGCTCCCTCAGGACTCGATCGGCTCCCACGAAATTAGTGCCGCAATCTGAATATATCTCCTCGCAGAGGCCTCGACGGGAAATAAAGCGACGTAAGGCTGCGAGAAAGGCGTCCGTCGTGTAATCTGACACGACGTCCAGATGCACCGCCTTGGTGCAGAGGCACACAAATACGGCGATGAAGCCCTTGTACGCTCGATGTCCGCGGCCCTTGCTCGTGCGGAGGAGGATCGGGCCGGCATAGTCCAGGCCGGTCCGGAGAAAAGGACGCGCTGGCGTGACTCGGCCTCTCGGAAGGTCGCCCATCGGCGGTTGCGGTGTCGTGGCTCGCCAGCGGGTGCAAGTGATGCAGCGGTGCAGCCGCTGTTTGACGACTGAGCGGCCACGAGGAATCCAGAAGCGACGGCGGAGTAAACCAAGAGTGAGCTGCACTCCTCCGTGCAGTGTTCGACGGTGGCACGACTCGATGAGCAACCGAGTGAGCCACGAGGACGGCGGTGCAATCATCGGATGTCGCTCATCGGTGGACAGCAGAGCATGCTTGAGGCGGCCTCCGACTCTCAGCACGCCGTGGTCATCCAGGAATGGACTCAGGTTCGCTAACGAACTGCGATGGGACACAGCGCGGTTTGAAGAGAGGGCCGTGATCTCGTTGGTGAAGTGCAGTCCTTGCACCACGCGAAGCCAGAGCAGCAGTGCGTCATTGATTTCGGTCGATTGCAGTGTAAGTGCGGTAGTGCGGGAAGCGGTGCGACGCCAACGCAAGCACCAACTCGTGACTCGGAGGAGCCGGTGCAAGGAGGAAAACCGGAGAAGCATCTCGGGTTCCTCCTCGATTTTCTCGGTGGCGACGTGTGCCGCGACTCTCTGTTCGGGCAGATCGGTGTCGGACATCACAAGGTCCCCGCTCGGCCAGTGAGATCGGTCCTCGCAGAGCCAGGCGGGTCCAGTCCACCACAGGGGATGCTCCAGCAGTTCGCCAGGGGCGATTCCTCTGGAGGCGCAGTCCGCAGGGTTGTCCCTCCCGGGGACGTGTCTCCATTGAGCGTCGGGCAGCCGTTGCTGAATGCGAGCCACGCGGTTCGCCACGTAGGTCTTCCAGCGGGAAGCGTGTCCTTGAATCCACTTCAGGGTAACCTGCGAGTCGGACCAAAGAAACGTGGGTGCTGTGAACAGACGCAAAGTGGAACGAGTGTGATCTGTGAGAGACGTGAGCAAGTCGGCGGCAGTGAGCTCGAGCCGTGGCAGTGTCACCTGCCTGACCGGGGCCACCTTGCTCTTTGCGGCCAACAGTTGAATGGCCACGGTGCCGTTCCTGGTGATGCGGAGGTACACGGCAGCGGCGTATCCTCGCTCGGATGCGTCGGCAAAGCCGTGCAGCTCTGCTTGTGCGTCTTCTTCCCCGCTGCCGAGCCAGCGGTTGATGCGTAATCGGGAGAGGAGAGGCAGCTCCTCGAGGAAGCTCTTCCAGCTTTGCGCGTCGGCGGTGGGAAGAGGATCGTCCCACTCGAGTCTCTGGAGCCACGCGGACTGGATGAGAATCTTCGCGCGAATGACTACGGGGGCGAGCCATCCTAGTGGATCGAAAAGACGTGCGGTTTCCGAGAGGACGCGTCTCTTCGAGAGTTCGGTGACGGTGCGCGGGTGAATCGCAAACGCGAACGTGTCCTCGTTCGGGTGCCACAACAACCCGAGAGTGGAAAAGCAGTCGTTTTCCCATGAGTGCGGTTCGTGGTGAAGTCGGTGATCGGATGGGACTCCTGACAGCACTTTCTCGTCGTTCGCGGCCCATTTTCGAAGCGGGAACCCGCCCGCCGTGCACAGTCCGCGGAGTTCGGCTTGTTTCGCGATCGCGGCGGACAGAGTGTTCGCGCCCGAGACCACGTCGTCCACGTAGGTGTCCTCACGCAACGCGATTGCTCCCTGCGGATATCGCGATTGTTCGTCATGAGCCAACTGTTGCAACGTGCGAATGGCTAGAAAAGGCGCGCACGCGAGGCCGTATGTCACCGTGAGGAGCCGGTACACGCACACGAGGGCGAGGAGGGCGCACCGCCAGAGGATGCACTGGTACGTCCTGTCGTCCGGGTGGATGAGGATCTGCCGGTACATCTTCTCGATGTCCGTGACGAAGGCGTAGCGGTGCCAGCGCCAGCGCGTCAACACGTCGGCTAAAGCGGGCAGCAAATTGGCGCCTATCAAAAGGTGGTGATTCAGCGACTCGCCGGACATTGTCTCTTGCGATCCGTTGAAAACCACCCGTAGTTTGGTGGAGGTGCTTGATTCTCGGAGGACTCCATGATGAGGTAAGAAGCATCCATACTCATCCTCGTTGAATGGCGAGACCGCAGCTAACTCCATGTGTTTTAGGTCTTCGTACTCTCGCATGAATTGACGGTAGAGCTCTCCGAACCGGGCGTCTCTTTGGAACTTACGCTCCATTGCGGTCAGCAGGCGTTCGGCCGGTCGGCGAGTTTTCGACAACGTCGTTGGCGTCTTGGCAAACGGTAGGCGGACCACGTACCGTCCCGTCTCCGTGCGAGAGTGCGTTCGCACATAAAAGTCCTCGCACCTCTGTTCATCGGGCGTGAGGGCGGCGGGAGTGGAAGGCTCTGCTTCTTGCTCCCAGAAGCGGCGCACGAGATCGGCCAGCTCGTTGTCGGCCGTCGCTTGAAAGCTGCCGCGCGCGTGGAGGGCTGAAGCACCGCAGCCGCCGGACAGAATCCACCCGAAGGCTGTCTTCTGCGCGATCGGGGCATGCGGCCCGCCCTTTCGAAGGCCCTCTTCGAGGATGGTGGAGCACACTTCTGCCCCAAGAAGTAACTCGACCGGATCTCCAGCCGAAAACTGCGCATCGGCTAGAGGCAGCCCTTTGAGATGGGGCCACGTGGCGGGGCTCTTCTTGGTCGTTGAGCCTTGGTACAGAGAAAGGCGAGGCAGCACGAACGCGACGGCGGAAATCGTGGCTCCGGTCGTCACGGACGTGAGATTCACCGTCACCTTCCCGCGGGTTGACCCGGATTTCGACCCCCCGATTCCGAAAATCGACACGGCGGAGCGAGATCGTTGCAGGTGCAGCTGTTGTACGAGAGACTCGGCGATGATTGAGACCTCCGATCCTTGATCGATGAGGACTCGAGCGGGATGCGGATTGCCGTAGCGGTCGGCGACGGTCACTCGCGCGGTCGCGAGGAGGATCGCCTTGCGGTCGTCAGCGGAGCGCACAGCGGACAGCGCGCTGACCTCGGTCGATGCTGACGCAGGAGCGTATGCCTCGTGAAGCATCGTGTGATGACGAGCCTTGCACGTGAAGCAATTCTTCGTCGATTGACACTTCGCGACGGTGTGATTGCCGAGGCAATTGTAGCACAATCGGCTGGTCTCGACAACCGTTTTTCGGTCTGAGGCGGACTTAGATTTGAAGTCACTGCACGTCATCAGGGAGTGTTTCCCCTTGCACAGGGCGCACTGCGGATCGGAACTGTTTCTTGACCCTTGTTTCGCGACGTGGGTCTTCGCGGACCGAGTGGAATCGGGGGCTTTCGCGGCGGGTTTCGGTCTCGCGGCGTTCAGCGTGAGGATGCGCTTCGAGATGAAGTCCTTGAGTTCCTCATGATCCGG